ACTATGTTGAGCAATTGGCGAATCATTTCAAAAAAAAAATTCATATCCAGAGGCATGTCACCTGAAGACCGTAAGCACGAACATGTTGCTTCTCCCAGTTAATGTTTTTCCCAACTTGTTTGTTCGTTTGTGGCAAAAATTCGAAGACTTTGTTGTGCCGACTACAGTCAATCCGGGGCAATCACGTAGAGATTTGATGAATCTCTCTAAGAGTTTGAAGACACCAGAGCATGGTGAATGCCAGGTCTTTTGTAAAATCCTCTTGAGACGATTTCTCCTCATCAACCATATAGCTTGGGGCATTTTAGAGGTGAAGCTATTCGCAAGAATTCTCGTGCATCACGCAGCTTATCAGCAGTAAATTTGGGGCATCCAAAATTAATCCCAGGGGCAATCCAAATTTGTCAAGATATGTTTTTCATACATTATCAGAGGGTGGTGTTCCCAATATCTCCAGCTAAGCAAGACTTCTTTCCAGCTGAAACTTTGTTTGTGTTGTTATCCTTTCAATGGATTGTTTGCAATAGAAGACTGGACTTTGGATTTTCTACCTGAAAATATCTTCCTCTCCAAAGAGATTTAAGCCTTGTAAAATGACTTTGCTCCAATGATGGCTTTTGTTTTTATCTCCAGTAATGTTACCATCCTGTTGAGATTAGCCGAGTGTCGAGTTGTACTGTGATGTCTTATCATTTTCTGTCCATCTCCCCTGTCTGTTTTGTCAGCATATACATGACATTCATTTATTCATTCACACTTGCATCATGCATGCACAGTCGTATTTGTTGATGTCTTTGAGTTCGTACACCTTGGTTATGTCTATTCAAATAACATATTTGATCTTTCCAAATAGAGTGTCAACTTAAGCAGAAAGTGCGCCTCTTTTCTAATTCCCCACTGAGTTAACTCTCGTGGAAGAATCTTGCTTTAACTTTCCTTTTCCATCTCTGGATAGGATAAATCCCCATTTGAGTTGTTTCCTCATTGGGTGGAGTCTTGTTTGACTATTTTCTCCCCAGTTTATTCCTGGATTGAGCTTTGTCTCTTGTGAACGATACCCTGTGGATCTCTCTAGGCTGTGAAACCTAGATGGAGAGTGCATTTATTTTGCAACGTAAATACTTGGTCTCCTCAAGAAGGATTCATTCATGGTTCCCCATTGAAGATGAACTTTATTTCCCAGCAGTGTTATCACAACCTTCTTCTGGAATATCGACATGACAACAAGTGACTGACTCTTTATTTAAGCAGTTTGATTATTTCTGATTTCTCTACGACAAATGGCGGTCTCTTCATGAGCAGTTTGTCCATCCCCGATGAAATTTTTGGTTCTCACCTCCAGCAATATCTTCACGATATTTTATGGGTACCTTTTTGAAAAGACAACAAGCGGCAGTTTCTTCATGAGACAACTTGTGTGTTATAGATACTCTTGACAAACAGCAAGCGGCAGTTTCTTCATGAGACAACTTGTGTGTTATTGATACCTTGAAAAGACAGCAAGCGGCAGTTTCTTCATGAGACAACTTGTGTGTTATTGATACCTTGAAAAGACAACAAGCGGCAGTTTCTTCATGAGACAACTTGTGTGTTATGGATACTCTTGACAAACAGCAAGCGGCAGTTTCTTCATGAGACAACTTGTGTGTTATGGATACTCTTGACAAACAGCAAGCGGCAGTTTCTTCATGAGACAACTTGTGTGTTATTGATACCTTGAAAAAACAGCAAGCGGCAGTCTCTTCATGGACAACTTGTATGTTATCAACATTTTTAAAATAAAAAAAAACCAACAAGCGGCGGTCTCTTCATGAGCAACTTGTGTGTTATTGTTCTCTCGAAAAACGGCAAGTGACAGTCCTTTCATGGGTAGCTTGTACGTTTTTTTTCCCTTGAAAACGGCAAGTGGCGGTCTCTTCATGAGCAGCTTGTACGGAAAATGGCAAGTGGCAGCTTCTTCATGAGCAACTTGTACGTTAGTATTTTTGGAAGACAGCAAGTGGCAGCTTATCTATTTGAGCAACTTGTGTGTTATTGTTCCCTTGAAAACGGCAGGTGGCAGCTTCGTCATGAGCAGCTTGTTGGTTTATAAGCAACAAGTGGCAGTTCTTCATGAACAGCTTGTGTATTTTAATATTTTTTTGAAGACAGCAAGTTGCAGCTTCTTTATTTGAGCAGCTTGTGCATCCCCAACAGTAATGCAAATGGCATCCCTTTGGAAAAGTCCCATGGGAAAGTTTGCATCTTATCCTTTTCAAGCGATATCTTGGTTAAAGAAGAAATGTGTTACCGTTCTTGGTAAAATTCAGAAATCAGAGATGTTTATTTCCAGCCACAGTGCTGATGTCAATCATTTTGTTTTCCAGTCTCAGTACTGATGTAAATCATTTCTTTTTCCAGTCTTCGTACTAATGTAAATCATCTCTTTTCCAGTCTCAACACTGATGTAAATCATTCAAGAGTCTCTCATTTGAAGTCTATGACTTTGTTTCCCCAGTGGAGTTACAACCTCTTCCTCTGTGGGATTATTGTATAATGCGCTTGGTTTCTCCAGCCTAGTCTGTCTCATATGGCGTCATTCCCCATAAAATTCAGAGCATTACATTCATATCATATCATGAACATAATCACGGTATCTTAAGGCCAAAAATTGTGTATTCTATATTTAAGTCCCTTCAATCTCGTCGAAATGAAGATCCCAACCTTCATATCTCCAGATAGAAGAAACTTAAATAGGGGCAGCTGTTGTACCCCAATTTTTGACCTAAGATCCCATTTTTATTTTTGCATTTTTTAAGATAAGTCAAGGTCACTAATTATAGTCGGTTTTAACCTCTCACCTTCGAGCATTGGCTATGCAGCATTTGTCAAGTATTTTAAACATTCTCAGCCTATGTATCATTAACTTCTACTCCAGCATGTGTATTTCTCGTTCCTTTGTTTTCATTTGCAGGAAACAGATCTGAATCAAGAGCATCAGGCTTCACGCCTCAATTAGGGTTCAGAATTTCTCAAGCCAGAAGTACAGTTAATCGTTGGTTCGTGAAGACTGATTCATCAGGAGAATCGTGCGTTTATTTCCACGCCTTGTTCGACAAGTGGTCTCGAGCTTCTCTACAACTCTCTCAGAGCACAGACAAGATTTCATCATCACTGGTTCACATGTGCATCAAGATGCTTTGGAATGCAGAGAAAGATCAAGTTTGCAAGTCAATTCAAAGCACTTTGACCAAAAGTCAATACTTACACATCCAAGTTCAAACGATCGTAACTTTTCATTTATTCAACATTTTTGAATGGTTACTTTTGCGTACAATTTTCTTTGACGTCATCTCTAACCCCTCTCCACCAGTCAATGTCTGATTAGGTGCGGAGGATCATCAAAAGTTCGGATACCTTAGAGGTTACTTTGATGACTGTGGCCTAATCTCAAGTAACAATTACTCGACTTTCAAGGACCGTAACTATTTCGATTTTCATCATTTCGGGATGGTTCTTTTTTGCAACATGTCACAAATGATGTCGTCTACAAGATTGCTTCAAGGATCGACATCCGAATGCGTTTGGAAGGCCATGAAATTCGCTTGAACATTTTAGACTTAGAATTGATTTTGTGTTGAGATTGTTCTCCACTAAGTCAAGGGTAAAGGCAGGATGTTGAGTTTGAGGATTCATTAATTATATATTGCTATAATACAGGTTGCTTGTATTCGAGCATTAGTAATTAGTGAATTAAAATTGGATATAGATCAAGTTTCTTTGTTTGTTCATCAAGATTCGGTTCATGGTAAAAGGTTTAGGTGTTTTATTTGGAATGCATTTCAAGGTAAAAAAAGACCATTCAAGGAATCTAAGTCCATCAATTCTACAAGGACTATTTCTAAGGAAAAGTTCTTATTCAATCCAAGAATTTGATACAAACTTTAAAGAAAATTTCAAGATCATTGATTCAAGGATATTTGTCATGTCTAGTTCAAAAGTGGAGAATGCATCATGCTAATTTTTAGGCATATCTCAAGTTTGCAATTTCAAAAAAAAAATCTCAAGACAAATCCATTCCAAACGCCAAGTGAAATATTTAAAGTTACATCCAAATTCAAGACTTGTTACAAATTTCATATCCCATTACAAATACTATAGCCACAAAATCACATGAAAAAACATTGTAAATCCTGAAGCCTATTTTAAACTATCCTTCATCAATTTTCAAAATACCAAGTCTAAGTCTATGCTATTATTTTCAAGCCCATTTTCCTTGCTTCATGATGCACCAAATTGCTCCATAACTTGTACCAATGTTGTCCATAAATCAACTGCTACAAACACTTCAAAACAGTCCAAACCTTGCTTCAAGATTATCCATACTGTATGCATATCAGTCCAAAAACATGCTACTGCAATGCTGCCCACAACTTGCCAAAAACCTGTCCAAAAAAGTCTGAACTTTCACAAAAATGGAAATGCCAATCCTGCATCAAAAAAGGAAAAGCCAGCATATTATGTTTTGTCAAGACACACATTTTCCCTCCAAAAAATTTCATTCTGAAGGGGGGAAAACAAAGTAAAAAAAAAACTGTGGAAATTTCTAATAAACCTCCAAGTTTAGAACAAAACTTCAGAACATTTTTTGCTGTAAAAAATGAAAAAATAAAAACACAAAAAAAACAGCATATCTCTATCCCTCACTCTCTCTCTCCCCAAAAAAACTCTTCACCAAAATCCACTCCTCCCACTTCCGAAAACCAGAACACTTTTTTTGTTGTATACCTTTGAGTCAAATGAGGAGGCTAATTTCATATACATACTTTTCACTCTTACCACAAACAAGACCATTTTCTTTCACTACTGTCTTCTTGTAGTAATTTTCTTGATAGTTACAACATCTTCCCCATTGGCAACAGGATACACAACATATACAAGGACACAAATATGACAATGCTAATCTCTATAGTGTTGCACACCTACCTCCAAAAAGTCCTGCATATGACCTTTTGTCAAAGATGCTTGAATATGATCCTAAAAGGCGTATAACAGCAGCACAAGTTTTGGAGCATGAGTATTTCAAAATGGAACCACAGCCTGGGCGGAATGCACTTGTACCATGCCAACCTGGAGAGCCATTTGTGAATTATCCCACACGTTCAGTGGACACAACAACCTCCCTTAAAGTCAGCACTTTCGAAGAAGGAAACTTAGTCCGACCAAAATGGACCGGAGAAACTCCTCTCTCTCGCTTGGTTCGAGCTCTCATCTCTTTCAAACCCGTATGTTCTATACTCAAGCTTGGTGCTAGACAGGTTTTAATAAGTACAGCTGAGAAAAATAACATACCTTGGAGGGAAATGACAAAAGAGATTTTGGAGTCAGATGTTTATAAGGAGCTGGACAGCATTCAAAACGAGTCTTTACTGTATCCAGATTATTATTTGAATCCATTCCATGCTTATGATGAGGGGAATCTTACATGGATGGCAGCAGCAGAAGCAGAAGCTGCTATTAAGTCAATGGTAAGACGAGCGATTCCTACCGCTTCTTCAGTAGATGAAGCGACTCAAATCATACGCGGAAACTGGCTTAATGCAATTGAACAACACCATCGACAGCCACATACCAACTTCCTATTCATCCAACCTCCTCCTTCTCTAGCTCGCGATTTCACCGCCTCCTCTTCCGTTTCACCTTCATCAACATCAACCGTCATCCACCGTAACACCACCTTCCATTTCACCATCATCATCTGATTCCATCTACTATCATTATACTCATTCATATGTTCATCTTTCTACCAGCTAAACTTCCGCGTACATACCCACTTCCTCTTCACTGTAACAAATTCATACTCCCTCGATCTCCTCTGTGCTAATAACAACACTTCCAGCCTTTCCGGTCACCACCCTCCACAAGTTGGATGTAACACTCTCCTCTGTAAACCAACCAGAAACACCTCTCAGCCAAGAAAAACAAAAGGAGAAGGATGGAAGATCTTCAGTTGCTCTCCCCCAGTGGAATGATAGTCCTGTAAAGCTAGCCAGAAGGCAATTAATAGGGAAAAGGACGGTCGAGCGTGCTGCTGAGTTGGTAAAACAGGATGATGAAGTTATTGTAAAACTTGAAGATTTTGCTATTGAGCGTTCAAAAGCAGTTGATTCAGCAGTTCTAGGTAAATACAACATTTGGAGGAAAGAAAATGAAAATGAGAATGATTCTACCGTTCGGTTGATGCGAGATCAGATCATTATGGCTAGGGTATACTTGAGTATTGCGAAGATGAAAAACGAGTTTGACTTGTACCAAGAGCTGCAAACACGGCTTAAAGAGAGTCAGCGTGTTTTAGGTGAGGCAAAACTTCTGATGCTGATCTATACCAGAGTGAACATGAAAAAATGAAAGTTATGGGTCAAGTTCTTTCTAAGGCAAAAGATCAATTATATGACCGCAACTCACCACAACCAGCAATACGCAGTCTCTCCGTCAAACCGTGCATCTTCCGCCAACAACACCACACCACAGGATGCACCTATTCCGCCTTGTATTTCTCATCTTGAAGGTGGACTTGTTCAACTTGCTATTCAGGTTGAGGATCGTTCTCACCGCTCCGCGATCAAAATCGTTCCGGTCAACGCCACCAGTCGTTCTGAAACCCAGATCTACCGGTAAACCCACTATAATTTCTATTATGTTTGTAGATTTTATTTTCTTATTAATAACTTAATGATTAATCTGTTTCCCATTAATTTCCAGTCTAGCTAAATTCTGCATATACCCCCCTATATTAGCTTTACACCCTTTGTTTTAATTTGTTTAGTTTAATATTAATCTTCTCAACTTTATTTTTTAATTAACTAGTTTAATTTTGTTCTTCTAATTTTCTTAACTTTATAATTTTCAATTAATAGGTTTAGCCTTAGAATAAGTTAGTAACTTTGGAATTTATTTTAATATTTGTTTTAGTTTGACTAACATTTGTATTTAATTTTCTTAATTAGATTTTTTTATTTCATGCATGATTCTTCTTTGTCTCTTTAATTAAACTCTCGTTGTCTTTTGTCATTAATTGCTTGCTTAGATTTTTTTTTTCTTGTAGATCTTTGAGTGCTTATGCTTTGGTATCCATTTTACTGTTTCTTGCTTGCTTAAACTCCAAGGAAAAGATTTAAATCTTGTTGACTTCACGTCATCAAATACATCTCATCCGATCGTGCGAATACCCTCATCCATTTTTTGCTTATTTACTATTTTTCCAAACTTAAGATAATTCTCCCAAAAGACTCCATTTTTAAAACTCACACCTTTTAAGTCAAAACTTCGACACTAGGTCGTCGTATCTTCAAAATCTCTCCAACACCGATTTTTAGCCAAACGAACCATTTTAATCAAACAGACAATTTTAACCAAAAAACAGATATTTCAAAAGGTTCCTGCGGAGTACCGCAGATGCATTGGATGCTAATACCTTCCCATTGTATAACCAACCCCCGAACTCTCGATCTCTTTTAAAAACGCATTGTATTTTCATTACTTTTAAGTATTATTTTACATTGCATATTTTAGGGTTTTATTTCGCACTTTTCCCTTTTCCCTTGGAAATAATAAAGTGCGGTGGCGACTCTTGCTTTTGCGAGTCAAGTTAATTAATAGCTTGATCTCCGATTTTCACCGCTACACTATGACATACAGAAGGCAATTCAACATAGCAAAAAGGGAAGAGGTAAGATTAGAAAACTACAAAGGAAGGAACCCCATGTCGAGATCCCAGTAGCGCAGGCAACAGAGGATTCGAAAGGCTGAGAGGGAAGCTGTGGCAAATAAAGGGGTCACTTCAACAAAGAACCAAGGTGAATCTAGCACCAACAAACCAAAAAATCAAACTGAAGACAAACCTCCAGTTAATAGGAGGCTTTTCTCTGAAGTACAACTGGATGAACCAAAGGAATACACTTCAGGCCCAGAAGAAGACGAAGATATGATAACAGATAACTTCGAATCGGAGGGGGAGTCTTCTTTCAACCTAAACTGTAATGTGGTATCTGTGCTTCCCTGTGAATTTGGACAGGAAACCGAAATTGATGAATATGAGGAAGAAGATACCACAGATTTGATGAAGCATAGGCCTGTGTGCTACTATGTGATGGACAATGGGGCTGTCGAGGAGCAAAATGCGTTCTTCGAACGTCCAGAACCTGCTATGAAGAACCATCTTAAGCCACTATTTATTCGGGCAAAAGTTGGTGCCCATGGTGTGAATAAGGTTCTAGTGGATGGGGGTGCTGCAGTCAATTTGATACCCCACTTCATGCTGAAAAGATTAGAAATCCTCGAAGGGGACATCAAGCCCCATAATATGGTTCTGTCCAATTATGAGGGGAAAGTGGGCAAAACACTGGGAGTGGTCCAGTTGGAATTGACTATAGGCTCAAGCTGTAGGCCCACCATGTTTATGGTGATTGAAGCCAAGGCCAACTACAACTTATTGCTGGGAAGGGAGTGGATCCATGGCGTAGGGGCAGTTCCTTCGTCAATGCATCAGCGACTAGTTCTATGGAGAGATGATGGGATCGTGGAAAACATCGAAGCAGACCAGAGTTACTTTATGTCAACAGTCAATTTAGTTGACAAGAGGGATTATGATAAAAATCTGGCAAAGATTGCTCCGTGTGTTCCAAATGATGAGATCAACGAAACCAGAAACGCCCACTACTACATGACCCTTCGCCATGATGGCCTATACTGGGATAGAACAATAATCAGTGGAGAAGAGGGAGTCGAAAGTACTATACAAAGACGGCCAGCAGGCTGGGACTTCGACAACCTTATCCATGACTGAGTCCACCTTTTTTGAAAGGATTTCGGCCTATATGGTTGAGAACGAATCAAAGGCGGCCTTAGAGGCTGAAATAAATAAAATAGCTGTAAAGATGAAAGAAATAAGTGGGGATGGCTCGAAATGCTCACCCCTCGAAGAACTTGAGATGGATCAAAGGTTGGATGCCATCTACGATAAAGAACCCTTAGGCTTCGAAAGGGACCCCATAGACTAATGTGCCAAAATGTTGGCACAGGATCCACTCGAAGAAGTCAACTTAGGGGATGAAAAAACGAAAAGAATAACCTACATAAGTGCAAAACTTAGCCCAGGCCTCAAGCAGGAAGTAATCGAAGTCCTCAAGAAAAACAAAGACTGCTTCGCATGGGATTATGACGAAATGCCTGGTTTAAAGAGGGAGTTGGTCGAACACAGACTGCCAATCAAAGATGGCAAGAAGCCCATCAAACAAACTCCCAGAAGATTCGCACCAGCGGTTCTTACAAAGATTAAAGCTGAGATCGAAAGGTTGCTGCGTTGCAAATTCATCAGAACCACAAGGTACGTCGAATGGTTAGCAAATATAGTACCTGTTATTAAGAAAAATGGTTCTTTAAGAATTTGCATAGATTTTAGGGATTTAAAAACTACAACCCCTAAAGATGAGTACTTTATGCCTGTGGCAGAAATGCTAGTAGATTATGCTGCAGGGTTCGAATACTTGAGTATGTTAGATGGATATTCTGGGTCTAATCAGATTTTCATTGCTGAAGAAGATGTTGCAAAGACAGCATTTCGTTTCCCAGGAGCCTTAGGCACCTACGAATGGGTGGTGATGCCTTTTGGTTTAAAGAACGTTGGGGTAACTTATCAAAGGGCAATGAATTCGATTTTTCATGATTTCATTGAAACCTTCATGCAGGTGTATATTGATGATATAGTAATCAAATCTGTATCTGCAGAAACACATTTGCATCATTTGAGCCAATCATTCGAACGAATGAGAAAACATGGCTTAAAGATGAATCCCCTTAAATGTGCATTTTTTGTGCAGGCTGGAGATTTCCTTGGTTTTGTGGTTCACAAGAAAGGGATTGAGATCAACTAGAACAAAACCAAAGCCATAATGGAGACGAAAGCACCTACGTCAAAAATGGAGCTGCAATCTCTGCTAGGGAAGATTAATTTCCTCAGAAGATTCATTTCGAATCTGAGTGGAAGAACCCAAGCTTTCTCTCCATTGCTTCGTCTAAAACAAGGCCAAGCCTTCGAATGGAACGAAGCCCATCAGGAGGCATTTGATAGGATAAAAAGATACCTCTCTCATCCTCCTATCCTGTCTCCACCTTCATGGGGGAAGCCCATGAGATTGTACATATCTGCCTCTGAAGTTAGTATAGGTAGTATGTTAGCACAAGAAGATAGCAATGGTATCGAAAGAGCCATATACTATTTAAGTAGAGTACTAAATGATGCAGAGACCAGATATAGCAATTTAGAAAAGCTATGTCTCTGTTTGTATTTCTCTTGTATGAAACTCAAGTATTATATAAAGCCTGTTGATGTTTATGTTTCATCTCATTTCGATGTCATTAAACACATGCTTTCAAAACCAATAATGCATAGCAGAGTTGGTAAATGGGCTTTAGCCTTAACAAAATATTATTTAACTTTCATGCCTTTAAAAGCTGTGAAAGGTCAAGTGATTTCTGACTTCATTGTGGACCATTCATTGGTTGAGCAGACTGTCATGAGTTACATCGAAATACAACCATGGAAATTGTACTTTGATGGTTCAACCCACAGGTATGGAAGTGGTGTTGGAGTCCTTCTAATTTCTCCTGAAGGAATTCCAACAAAATTCAAGTATAAATTAGATGGTCCTCGTTGCTCGAACAACGAAGCTGAGTATGAAGCGCTCATTGTTGGACTTGAAGCTTTGTTGGAATTGGGGGCAACTTGAGTCGAAATTAAAGGAGACTCAGAATTAGTGGTCAAACAAATTACAAAGGAATATAAATGCATAAAGGAAAACTTGATGATATACTTCGTCATAGTCAACAGGCTACTTAGGAAATTTGAATACATGGATATTCAACACATACCAAGAATAGAGAACCAAGAAGCAAATGACTTAGCACAGTTGGCTTCGGGTTATAAAGTTTCTGTTAGGAACTTTGAGGATTTAGTTGAATTAAGAGGTAGAGTTATGGCTACTAGATTCACACCATCAGATCTAGAAAGTATGAAATTGGGATATGCTGAGAAACAGGGATTCGAAATATTAGCCATAAACACTTTATCAGATGCAGATTGGCGAAGTCCACTGGTGAGTTATTTAGCAAACCCAACTCTGAATGTGGATAGAAAGACAAAATACAGAGCATTATCATATCTCCTCATGGGGAACGAATTGTTCAAAAATACCCAAGAGGGCGTATTATTGAAATGCCTAGGAGAAAGCGAGGCATACTTAGCATTGTCAGAAGTCCACAATGGGGCATGTGGGGCACATCAAGCAGGTCATAAAATGAAATGGCTGCTATTTCGATATGGCATGTATTGGCCTAGCATGCTCAAAGAT